ATCAGGGATCAGGTCAACTTACAAGGGTGGTCTGGCTACTTCAATAGACTTCGTGGTCCGATTTATCACAAATTGGTTGTAGAGTCCTGGAAGAACGCTATCTGCAACGACTACTACGTTGTTTCTCATGTGCTGGACAAGAAGATTGTAATCTCAGAAGAGTCCATTGCAAAACTGCTGGGTATGGAGTTCCAGCAAGGTAAAAGGATTAAAAATGTTGATGCAAATGTTCCTGGGATGAGGACCGTGGTCAACAAGGAGCTTTATGATAACTGGTCTCAGGAGAAAACCAAGTATAACATAAAGGACTTGAAGTCTCAGATGAAGATTTGGCAGAAGATCTTCATTCACTGCATTCACCCCAGAACTGGAGGAACTGATTACCTGAATGCAACTCAAAAGGTAATCATGTACTACATTTCCATAGGTGAGCCTATATGTCTGCCATTCCTGCTCTTCAATTATCTGAAGGAATGCATTGAGAAATCAAGAACCACAACTGGTTCTGAAAACAAGAGGTTCATTTCTTACATTCCGTATGGAAGGCTGCTGTCAGATATCTTTGTCCAGAATAAGCTTGTCAAGACCCTGTCAGACATTGGACTTCATGAAGACCTGGTCATGTCTATTGGCGATGCTCTCAATGGAACAAAGTTGAAGAAAATGCAGATCATTGAGAAAGTACAAGTTGCTCCCAAAGAAGACACTTCTGATGAAGTACGTCAGAGGAACTATCATGTTGATGACTTTCCTCTCTGGTCCAAGAAGGACAATCCAGCATGTATTCAGGAATATGTGCGGATGCTCAGAAGACAAGGAGATCCTATCACTCTTGAGGAATTTGTTCAAGCACTTCCTGAAAACCCTCCTAAGTTGGCAACAAGGAAATCAAGAAGAGCAACAAGCAGCAAGCCTTCAGATCCTAAGGGCAAAGGGATTCTGACAGAGGAACCTACAAAGAAGAAAGTTGCATCCAAGACTGTGGTCATTAGGGAACCCTCTCCTGAAAGACCTTCCCAGAGAACCTTAGTTCAACCATGTCAAGTGTCTGAATCTGAAAGCTCTGAAGACACATGGGAAGATTCCTCAAGCGAGGAAACTGAAGATGATGATATTCCTGTGGCTAAGAGAAGAAAAGTTACTCTTGAGGAAGAGGAAGATGAGCAGGATGACCATGAGATCATCCAGAATGTGCTTCAGGTTATAAGGGAATCTTCTGACGCTGAAGAATCAACTGATTCTGATGTTGTTCCCTTAGTGAAGAGAAGAAAGCTTCCTCTGAGGGACACTTCAGCAGAAAGAGGCAGAAGCAGAGCAAGCATCTGAACCTGCTTCAGAAGCACAACGGGAAAGAAGATCTAAACGCACTTCTGATCCAGCAAGGGCTGTAAATCCTACCACAACCACATCCATCAGAAGTCCAAGTAAGGTAATTACTGAAAGCATTAACTCTGATTCTGCTTTAGTAGTTATACCTGAACAACCCCTGCCTATATCTACTTCCATGCCTACCTTAACCCAAATAGCACCCACTCAACCTGAAACACAACCTCAAACACAAGCTGCACCTCAAGCTCCTACTTCATCCATCCAAACAGCTACCACAGCCATCCCTTCCACTCCAATTTACAC